TGTGTGTGTATTTGCAATTTCGATGTTATCGCGTTTTGTTTTATCTCTCCTCTTCCAGTTCTAGCGTTTTTTTATTCATGTTTGTTTTGTTGTTGTTGTCTGATAAATTTGAAAAAAAAACTTTTTTTTACATTTTTTTGGCTTAAAAATAAATTTTATTTGATATTAAATAAAGAAATATCAAGAATATGATGCCACATCATAGTCGAGAGAACTTTTATATCCGTGTAAAAACATCATTAAACTCAGCAACGAGCAAATGAAACACACTAACCAAAAAAAATCACCACACACCAATCATCACTCTTCAAAACCACCATCCCAAATTTCACTAACAAAAAACATTTCACTAATTCTACCCAATCTAACGTATGTATGTATGTATGTATGTATGCATGCATGCATGCATGCATGCATGTATGTATGTATGTATGTATGTATGTATGTATGTATGTATCTATTTGGTGTTTAGGTGGCCATACTAGATGAATTTTATCTGAATTCTATTATGGTCATCCTGCTTTCTTATGATTTTAAGAAGCAAATAAAATTTCGTTTCGTTTCGTATGTATGTATGTATGTTAAAACCAAAACATGATGAGTGACACTGAACCGTCAAACATCAAGTAACAAATGGATTAACACTTTGATTTGTCGTTAATTGCACATGTCGGCATTCAGTTGGATATTTTCAAGCACACAGACACGCAGGAACCGCTGCAACAAGCACGAAATGTGGTTAGTTGCGAAAAACAGTTCCCTGCTGTCGCCTGATCTGACGCTGATCATTTTACATATTGCCTTAAGAAATTTAAGGGTGTTGGGGTCCATCGGGCCGAGAACCTCGATACATATTGGCATGAATTCCATCGAGCGGAGGGCGTTCCCATATTTTTTAATTTTCTCGTCCGCTGCCCTGGCCGCGGCCAAACCGCATTCTTTACTTGTCAAGTTTACATATCGTTCGGCAAGGGTGCCAGGGACCGTAACATCCCACGCCAAACATCTACCGGCTCTCCAAGGTATTAGTGTGTATCCGTCCGGGCGCCTACCATCATGCGCAGAAATGCCGGATGGTTCCTTGAGAACCGGGAATGTACGTGTATGTATGTACGTATGTATGTATGTGTAAGTTAGTACCAAACAGCATGTGCACCGAGTTTGCTACCCTTATGGAAAACCAAATATTCATTCCATTTCTAGGCTCTCAAAAAAATCAATCATTAGTCTAGAGGAAAATTTTGAGGAAAAAAAATAGCTGTCACTTTTAAAGGGGAAAAAATCTGTTTGTTGACTTATTTGGCGTTTTATTGCAATTCGAAAAAAAAAATATTTTAAAATTGTTTTTTTCTGTTCATTTAGTTAGTTTTTATTATCGTTTTTAAATATTTTTTCTCAAGTTTTCATGGCCCTATTTAATGAAATGAATCTTTCAATCTCGAAATCACTTTCATCCACATAACTATTCAACTTTATTCTGTTTCCATCATTTCATTTTGTTTCTATTTAATTTTTTATTAATTTACTTTTTATTATTTTTATTATTATACCTATTTAAGTTACGATATTATCTCTTATTTTTCAGCTCGTTATCGTCTGTTTTTAATAATTAACCAAGTGAATGAAAAACTCTTCCACTATTAATGTTGATGAGAAAGTGTTACAATGTTTATGGTGTTGTTGATGTTGTTGTTGTTTTTGTTGGTGTGGTTTATGTTGTTGTTTATGTTTTCGTTAATGTTGTTCATGTTTTAGTTGATGTTTTTGGGGTATTTTTTTGATGTCGTTTATGTTTTTGTTAATGTTGTTGTTTTTGTTGGTGTAGCTGATGTTGTTGTTGATGTTTTCATTGAATGTGTTGATGTTTATGATGATGCTGTTTTTGGTGTTGTTGTTGATGTTGTTGATATTTTTGTTTATGGTGTTAATGTTATTGTTGTTGTTGATGTTGTTTATGATGATGTTGTTGTTAATGTTGTTGATGTTTTTGTTGATGTTGTTGTTTATGATGATGTTGTTGTTGATGTTGTTTCCTCCTTTTGATGATGATCAGATCATAATTACGTTTTTATAATTCGCATTTCAGTCACGTACAATATTCTAATCATCTCTGTCATCTCCATCATCATCGTCGTCCTCATCATCATCACCATCAACATCGCCATCATCATTATCAACATCAACAACAACAACAACATCAACATCAACAAAAACATCATCATCAACAACATCATCATCGTCGTCTTCATCATTATCATCATCAACAACACCATCGTCTTCATCATTATCATCATCAACAACAACAAAATTATCATCATCATCAACATCATCATTGTCATCACCATCGTCATTATTACCATCATCATATTCATTATCATCATCTTCACCATCTTCACCATCTTCACAATGTCCAGTTTTCCCCCGTGATAATCGACAACAATTCAACGGGTTACTTCAGCCCTCCCCTGCTCCTACCCTCCAATGGCACGTCCCTATCAATCCCCCTTAACTTTCAGCTGGCTGCGTCTCCAAACAACAACACCACTAACATTAACAACAACAACAACATCAACAACAACAACCACCTACCGGCCATTATGCCATCAACTGCTACCACTACTAACTGCGTTAACAACAACAACACTAACGCCAACAACAACCACAACAACATCAGCCACAACAATGTTGTCAACAACAATCACATCAACAACATCAACAACACCAACACAATCAACAACAACAACAACATCATTAACAACAACGTCGTTAATGGCGACTATCAAAATGAGGTTAGTTTTTTTTTCAATATTTTTTCACAAACACATACATGCAAACACACACACATACATACAAAAACATACAAACTTTGTATATACGGTTGTGTATGAATAAGGAGATATGATAACACATGTGTCAAGATATACGCTTTATGGTGCGTGCACACTTTGATATTTATATGCACCTTGTCATTTCGACAGGCCAAACTGTGTATCCCTTCACTAATTGTTTATCACCGATCTGTGTTTGTATGCTTGTTTGTATGTTGATTTGTATATTTGTATGTATGTATGTATGTTTGTTTGCCTGTTTATTTGCGTTCGTTTGTGTTATTTATTGTTTATATAATGTATGTGTATGCAATGACGTTCTCTGATAATGAGTTTGCATTGTTTATTTATTCGTAATTGTCTTTACAATCATTCCTTGCTCTGTGTTTGTCTGTGTGTTTGTTTGTTTGTTTGTTTGTTTGTGTTTGTCTGACTACTTCTTCACAATGTCTGTTCGTGTGGGCGTTTGCAGTATTTGGTTTTGTTTTTTTGTTTCGTATTTTTTAGCTGTTGTCTGTATGATTACTTTTTTTGGTTCAATTTCGACAATTTATAAATGGATGTAGCTTTACCATTTGTTATAATAATGATATTAACCTAGCTACATTATTTGTATCGGAATTAACTTGAAAGAATTCATCATCGATCCCACTACTACCACCACCATTCAAATTCACGTACCCATCTTCAACCGCACTTCGCCAAACCTCACCCTCACCTCACCCACATCTCCCCAAAATGCCCCCAGAGAATGGTGTACAGTCCTTCGGGCACCACACCCTCCCCCATCTGCATGGATGCTTCCAACCAACAAGCGGCGCACCAGCAGCAGCAGCAAGCGCTTCCGACGTATTGGCCACAGAACCAAATGATTGACACTGCACGTGATGCTATCTCGACCTATTACTCTCCACTTATATTTCAGGTTTCTGCTTCTTCTTCTTCTTCTTGTTTGGAAATTTCATATTAAATGTTCGTTGGTTAATTATGATGATGACGAGACCAGATGGTGACAAAAGTTGTAAGGTCATTAATATTCATGAGTTATTAAGAATTATAATTTCATTTAAATCCTCCAATCAGAACGCGGCACCTGGCTACTACCCGACCATGCTGAAGCAGGCGACGGACAACGGTGGCAAGCCCTGCAACGGTGGAGTAGCCATCTACCAGTGCGGTCTTCAGTACGGAAGTGGCGGCACCATGCCACCAACGGCCACCTACCCTCATCATCATTCTGCCATCGCCATATCATCCGTCTGTCAGGCTCCGGCCACCTGCTACCCAGTACCTCTAGCAAGTTAGTCTATTTGCTGCTTTTTTGTAATTTTGTGGATTTTTGGCTGTTGTGTTTTGAATTTTGTTGAAATTTATCTCTCATTCGACAAGTTCTGTTAAATAAATTTTACTTACTTCAATTTTTTTTAAACTGTTTTATTCATTATCAAATCAATGTTTTTTTTAAAATCTGTTTGTTATTAACTGACTTGAGTCTGCTTGCAATTTTCAAATTTTTATAATTAATTCCAGCCAATTAATGCTTCTACAACACACACAACACTCCTCATTTCAAACTCCACAAACAATGTACACCATCACCACTACCGCCGCTGCCGCCACTACCACAACCACAACGACTTTCGGAAAATATGACATCAATCACGTGACGTCAGAAAGCAAGAGAGGTGACGTCATAGGTTGCCCGATGACGTAAGCAGTCTTGTATAAAGGAGGGGACTAACTGGGCGACTGGACGCTTATACGTTTTCTTCTTCCTCCGTGTCGCTTCTTTAAATGAAGGTCCTTGTCATTGGCGGTCATTTTTCATTCTTTCATCCACTTATGTCAGCATATGCCAAACGCCAGCACATATATAACACCACAAATATCCATATAAATAAATCCCACACTAACAAGCACACACATACTCATACCCATACACACATATACATACATAGTATTGTATGAATTTTAACGAATTTGGTAAAACTAATTCAATACTGTATAAAATGTGGTCTTCTTTTAACATATACATGCACACACACACATACATACACACACACAGTCCAAGTGTTTATACAATGTTAGACCATGAAAGGCTTAACAGATTGCTAGAAACTAACCGTTGTTGTATAACAAGTCTTCCTTGAAATACAAAATGAAATGAAACGAGATAAAACAAAACAATACAATACAACACACAAACAAAAAATGTCATACATACAAAAACTAACATACAAAAAATTAAATAAAAGAAACTAAAACGCAAAAATATTTGCACATTCGAAGACAACGAGAAAGAACGAACATGCAACTGACTCAGTAAACATACAAAACGACAGACGTGCAAACATAATACAAAACCATACCAACAAACAAACGTCCACATACGCACACAGAAACACAAAAACAAACAAACATACAAATGCAAGCATCTTTGTTTCCTTCCTTAGTATCCTGTATCAATTCTCATATTAATCTTCCTCTCGCTTAGAGCTACAGACGTCTTTCAACGCTTGCTTCTGAGCTTGTGTGCGCGTGTGGCTATGTGTGTCTGTTGAGTATCTGTGAGTATGTGTGAGTATGTGTGCTTATCTTAGTGCTAGTTCGTTTGTTAGTACGTTTTGGCGTTGGTTTTGACGAGTAAGCCTAATTAATGCCAGTTAGTTTTGCACATGTTTGCTGTGTATGTTTTTAATTTATAATTTTCATTTAATTTAATGAAAGTTTAGATATAAATTCACAAATACATTAAAGATTTCATGTATAAACATTCAAATATGTGCATATATATATATAAATATACATATATAATTATGTGTTTGTGTCATGTGCATTTCTATGTGTTTGCGTTTGTAATTGTGTAAAGTTTGGGTGTGTGCGTGTGTGTATTTGTATGTGTAAGTGTATACAATGTTGTGTGTGTGTATGTGTGTAAGTGTAGACAAGTTTGTGTGTGTGTGTGTACGAGTTTGTACGCATTAGCGTGCACATGGATCATTTCTTATCAGCAGAAATCTTTTTTAAAAGTTCAGCAACCTCAGTCGTTTTTCAGCGGAGGTCATCTCATGGGGACGGGGGTTTACACACGTGTACAAATTTATTTATAGACTTGCTTGTGTGAATGTGCAAGATGTTTGGAGATGTGCGAGTTTGTATGTTTCTCCCTCTATGTGTGTGTGTGTGTGTGTGTGTGTGTGTGTGTATCTGTATGTTTGTGTATTTGTTTGTGTATGTGTCTGTAAGATCCTATTTTTTTAGTATGATTTTTGTGTGTATGGGTTTCAGTTAACACAATTTTTGAAGTTAGCTACTTTTTTATTTTTTAAAGACGGCTGTGTGGTTTAATTATTTGTATATGTATATGTGTGTGTGTGTGTGCGTGTAAGTGGGTGTATTTCTGTGTGCGTGTGTTTGCGCGTGCGTATGTGTACATGTGCATGCACGTGTATGATGTTTGCCTCATCTCTTCTGCAAGATAAATTGCCCGGATCATTTGGTCATCTTCAACAAGCAAATATTTGTGGATATTTCACTTTTTATACTTCCTTCTCTCTACCTTTCTCTCTCTTATTCTCTCTCTCTCTCTCTCTCTCTCTTACTTTCTCTCTCTCTCTTTCTTTCTCTCTTTCTATCTCTCTCTCTTTTTCACTATCTCTTTTTTTCTCTCTCTCTTGTTTTTCTTTTAATGTTTTTTAGTGTTGTTTCCTTTCTTCCAAATTATTTCTTCTTCATTGCGTTTCGAGTACGTTTACAAACTCGCATCAAATAAACTCATCTAACAGGCACTATTGCTGAAGTCGGAGGAAATCCACACGTTTCATTATGTGTACAGTACATGTATGTGTGTATTTGTGTGTGTGTATGTGTATGTGTGTGTATGTATGTATGTATGTAGTGTGTGTGCGCACAGCTGATATGCGTTTACAGACAAACACATTTGAAACAGCGTTCGCTTTGCGTTACGCATAGACACAGGTGAGCGAGTTGCGTCTTTGTGAGAATCATGATGATGACGATGATGATGACGACGATGACGACGATGACGATGATGATGATATTTCATAATAAGACTTGCAAAGTTCATTATACTTACGTGCTATCTTTTATCTCAATGTCAATTGAATTTAAATGTACGCTCGCATACATATGCACACATGCACAAACATATACACACATACATAAACATATACACACATACATAAACATATACACGCATACATAAACATATACACACATACATAAACATATACACACATACATAAACATATACACGCATACATAAACATATACACACACAAACATAAACACAGGCACAATTGTGTATAAATGTACAAACATGCAAACGTTTATCATACAAGGCCTGAATAAAGGAATAAATTAACAACATTTTAGCATATCTTCTCAGATTTTAAAATTTGTTTATTAATGCCTATACAAATACACACATATATATACACATATATAAACAGAATTATACAATAATACATATATAAACATAATTATATAACATAAGTATAAAGATAAATATAATTATATATATATATAAAGATATACACATATATAAACATAAATATACAAAGATATATAAAGTGTGTATATATGAAGATCTTCAACATGATAGGGTTACATTCAGTTTCTTAATTAGACAAAGTGGTGGCACTCGCTAATAGTTGACAAGGAGATATATCCACATATCATTTTGTATATCATTCTGTATATCATTCTGTATGTGTTTCGTCTGTATATCAATAGGTATATCTATTCTAGAAATATATATAATTATATATATCAATATATCATTCGGTACATCATTGTATGTGTTTCGCCTGTATATCATTATATATATATCTGTTCTATATATATATATATATATATATATATATCATACGATATATCCATCTGTATTCATTATCATCACTATCTTTAGGATATTGTCATCATTCTCATCGTCATCATGATCATTTTTGCTATGATCATCATTATTATTCGTCGTTGTTTACATCATCATCATCACCGTCGTCATCATCACCGTCATCATCATCATAACCGTCATCATCATAACCATCATCATCACCATCAGTAGCCATTGAATAAGACCATAATTCATGTCCACTTATATAGGCACGTATTAAATGACCAGCACATCAGCAAAGCATAAAAGCATGAATATTGGAAATTTTTGTTCTCTGTGTTTTCTTTTTCATCATGAGTGCTATAAGTTGTGTTGCATTTTACTTGGTTCTATTTTTATAGTTTTGTTTTTAATATAATTATTTACCCGTTCGTTCGTTTGTTCAATCGTTCGTTCGTTCGATCGTTCGTATGTTTATTCATTTATTAATTTATTCATTCATTTACTTATTCCTCTATTCGATCATTCGTCCTCCTACCGATTTATTTATACACTCCATCCAACTTTTTTCCGTCCATCCATCACAGGGCGCGCATTATAAATCGTCTTTCATTTCGCATTTACTTCTGCGTGTGTGTGTGTGTGCATGTGTGCGTGCGTGTGTGTGTGCTTGCATGTGTGCGTGCGTGTATGTATGCGTGTGTGCTTTATACACTCGGCTTCACAACAACAACAACAACGATGACCAAACAGCCAAACATCAACAAAACGACACTGATGACCATTTGAATTTCGCGGCCAGCCATCAGCAAACGACCAGCATCACCTTGCTAAATTTTATGCTCATCCACATCCATGTAAAATGTGAACTGCCGATGCCACATCCTCTTAAAGTCATTTCGCACACCTTTCATTGATTGGACTTTGTTCTTTTGTGGCTAACATCCCTGCTCTTACATATCTTAATACTGTTGACAGAGGATGATGATGATGATTGTGATGATGATGGTGATGATGATAGTGATAGCGTGGCGACAATGTTGATGATGATAATGATTACAGTAGTGACGACGATGATGGTGATAATAGTGATAGTAACGGCCTAGACGATGATGATAATGATGATGGTTTCACTTAATCAACTTAGTAGTCGTGAAGTTACTAGTTCAATTTTCACATCTTCTTTCACGCCTGCTTTTTCTCTTTTTTCTTCTCATTCTCTCTCTCATTTTCTCTCTTTCTCTTTCTCTCTCCATCTTCTTCTTCCTCCTCCTCCTCCTCCCCAGCTTCTTCTTTATTTAATTCCGACTGTTGCAATCATCATTATCTGCATTGGCACTTTTTCTTTATCACTTTCTTTCCTTTTCCTCTTCCTGTTTCTCTCTCTTTCCATCTCTTTTTTTTCTCTCTTTATTATTTCTCTTTTCTTTTTTTGACTATTTCTCATCTT